TATTTCAACTTAAAATCCAAGAGCCTATATCCATTTGTATTTAATACTTCATAATGTAATTTATCACGTCGAGAAAAAGCGTAGAGCGTGAGAACATTTCCTTCTCAGAGAAAACCTAAGACTACCGTTTCATATGAATATTTAAGAAATTAAAGAATATCAGCGAGCGAGCGAGATACATACGAAAAACCGCGCAGCAAGCACAGTACCTTCGTTACGCAATTGTGATGGATTTCAACTAAAAAGCCTCTTATAACCATTTCAATTCATATCTTCGTAATATAAATTATCACATCGAGAATGTGCGTCAAGAACATTTCCTGCTCATAGAAAACCTACGACTTCATTTACTACAGACGATTTAAGAAACTCGAGAGCGACAGAGACAAAAATCGCAAAGCTACACAGTGCCTTCGTCATCCAATCATGAGAGTACTAAGAACGAATCGAATCATATAAACGAATCGAAAACGCGATCAATTTCGAAACGAGCAGAATGTTGCGTCCAAGTAAAGATCCAATTCAGGCGTCTGATTTAAACAAACCGTAGCGAATAACACTCAAACAAGAACAGCAAAAATTAAATTGCAATAAACCTGAAGACGATATCGAAGACCGGAGTTACGAATACCTCGTCGGCCGATGGATGCAGAGCTTCGTTTAAGAAACCGCCTTAGCGCGCGCTTACAAAGCTGCCGCGAAGTTCACCTCGATAACCAAATAATATGATGTGAAACATTTTAAATGGGCTTTTAAAAGGAAGAGGATAGGAATAGGATTAAATTTCAATTCGGTACCCGACTTTCTTTATTTTTCTATTTTGACCCCAAATTTTGACACATTTTTAATTATTAATTTCAATTTAATTATTTTGATCATTTCTTTATTTTACCTTTAACAAAATATATATATATATATATATATATATAAGCGTATATATTTTGCCATGAACACTATATTATACAGAACCAGACAAATTCATGTGATAATACACAAATAGATTTGTTCGAAATAAATAATGCAGCCTGCAAAAGGAGAAAAGATTGCATACCGTAACTCTAATGCTTAGCTTAGCTAGGAGTTTTAGGAGCGAAACAAAAAATTTACCTCGTCTCGATTGAAGTCGATTCAAGACAAATGTTTATACGAGAACCCTTTATAGTTTCTTACGTTTACGTTTATTTGTTTTTTGGTGTAGCTCGAGTTTTATGAATGAAATAGGCTAACCCCATCTTCAACCAA